GCCATCGACCCGCGTTCAGAGACGATCGCCGTCCCTCGCGCGCCTGTAACAATCTCTCACGCGCCCGGACTTCTTCCCCGTACGCCCGTCCTCGTTGTTCGTTTTCGTCTTGACCCGTTCTCGCGCACACAAATAGTAGGTGTACGCTGCTCGCCGGCACACGGGATCCCTCGTCCAACGTTTTTTCTCTTCCGCCGCAGGCCGCTGCGACACACGTTTTTCGAGTTCGATACCGGTTACAACCATTAGTGCACGGGTGTCTGTCTGGAAAATGAGAACGTTCGAACCGATGACTACTATTACGTACAAACGGACACCGTCCCACGAACGGTGTTTGATAGATAATTTTGACCATCAGGCCTTTGCATTGTACGGCATTTCTCAATAAAAACAATTCGCAAAACAATTTTCTACTCCCGAGATTTCCCCGTTTTTCCGCGACAACCTGTAATACACACCCACGTGCGCGTATTTATACGGCGGACTTATCCGTCGAAACGAATTTTCACGCGACACTCCTTTCGCGTTGTACAAATAAATACACGTATACATTTACAAGCGCACGTATAATAATTAATCGTTCAAACGCGTACACATAATTATGCGTCGCTGCAGTAAATGTATAAAGAGGTTTAAGAGGATTACGTGCGTGCGAACCCGAGTCCCGAAGATTCGGGCTTACGAGCAAATAGTTGTGTGTCAGTCAAAACGATTTTCGTCGAAACCGATTAACATATTTTACTCGAGTCGTTCAACGTTAACACGGAACGGTACATAAATTATACGCACGTATAGCCAGAGCTCCCGTGACCATGATAAATAATAATATTAATGCGCGTGAAACGTAAATCCGATTATAATGGTTATTTAATTAGATTTAAATGCTGTTACCATATGTGTGCGCACTCGATTATCGCGCACCGTTATTACACGTCTGGGGCTGCTATCTGTACGCGTGTACGCACGTAACACGGTCCGAAAAGTGTCGAGCGTCGCAAGGCTGGAGCGCGTTCGGACAACCGCCTGTGTGTCGATAACGTCGTTGCTCGCGAAACTAACGCAGTTATCAAATATTATTTATTACACCGCGGGCGGGATATTACCGCGTAACCGGACCATAATAAATCTCGTTCTTTGTAGCAACAACGCTGACAATGTTAAGGTCGTGCAATGACATTTTATGACCAATTTAGAAACGTTTGTGTTCGCACCGCATGGACGTGACGGAGTAAATAAATAGTCCTTTAAAATATCCGAGACAGCCATTAATCACGCAAACGTAATCGTTTTGCATATAATAATCGTTGATTAATTGTTCTCGTCCGCGTTATAATATACGCAGTGTAAAGCGCGCGCTTTCTGGGCAAGACATGCGATAAGTAGTGGTTTGACAATTCGATCGCTATGCCGAAAACGTAAAAAGAAACAAAAAAAAAAAAAGTAATAACCAAACCTATATTTATTCGCATTACGATTTTAGGGCATATTAATGTTTTCTAATTTCCAAAGTGCTACGCGACCGTTAGGGGGAGATGGTGAAAAAACCAATTACAAATTACTCCGGCTACGTCTGTCATACGTACATAATATTATACGCAACACCGTCTTTCTCATTGTACACTCTTTCTCTCTCTCTCTGTCTTATATTTTATCTCTCTTATTCTCTCTCTATCCGGAGGAGGTCACCGCTATATTTTGTTTGACACACACGTGGCAGTCACCGCCGCCGCCGCCGTCGTGAGCCTTTTACGTTTTCGGTAAATCTCTCTCCCTTTTTTTTTTTTGATATATATATATATATATATATATAATATTGTACAATATTTTTATTCTGTGTCCCCTCTCCCTTGGCTCGTCAGAACTGTGTGTTTTT